TTTGACCACAAGACATCAACTGCAATCAGTATCCCAAGCTACTCACACGTGAAAATCCCTAAACCTGTTTCTTTTGTGTCATTTGAAACAAACCGCACCAAGAAAATGTTTCGTATCTTAATTTTTTTGCGTTAATTTGTTAAGTTGGTGCACCTATTGCCCAATAAATTTTGACCGCTGTGGCATTCACTTTGCATTCAATATTCAAATTTACGCGAAATTTAGGCCTTTTCGAGTGTTACTTATTTTCACAGTAAACTAACTGTTGAGTGAATTCACTACTAAGTTGTGTGATTGAACAGCCGACGGGATGTAGTAAATCGATTTTTTGATTGACCTATAACCATGATCTGATCAATTTTGAAAACCCACTTGTGTTTACCTCAATCGTTACGCATTTCACTTGACAAATGAGGCCTGTGTACCTTTACGAGTTCACCCAGACGCTGTTGGTCAGCAACTCCAGTCTTTTTAATTTTGCTGGGTGTCCGTGTCATTGAATTGTAATGGCGCTCAATCGTCCAATCCTTTTTTGCCTCGATTTGAAATTTACCCTTGTGCATTGTTTGTGCCTTTTCTTTAGACGACGATCGTCCGCTCACTGTCTCGTACTCCGATTGGCGTCAAATGACTACCCTCATGGAGATGCCCTTCGTAATCAGCTTCTGGCAGCGGGTTCAGGTAGTGCCTCTCCCTTGTCTCCCACTCTCTCTTCAATTTTAAGTAGAAACGCGAGACTGCGCAAGCCTCTACGCGGGGTTCTGACAATGATTTACTTGGTGTGTAGGCACCATGCTCGTGTGATTTGGCATCTGCCCCTTCCTTGTAGATATTCCAGAGTCTAGTGATGGAGAATCGTCAATCCATTCAGGGTCCGTCGCGCGCCACTTTGAATTACGTCCCAGAGCGCGAGATCCACTCATTGGCTCCAATTCAAATTCGTGCCCGTCGAGGCTACATCTACGAGGACGCGTTTGAGAAGCTCTCCAAGGAGAACGGTTCGTCATTCTCATGTCTGTTAGTGTAGTCGCTCATTTCAGTAGTATCTGTGTGTCAGAGTGTAAAAAATCACGAGTCGGATACACTTTCGCCACGCAAGAAAGACCCCTTCAAGGTCTAATTGGCTCAACTCAAGGTCACACCGAGCGCGCGGTAAATCGATTTTCCTTTCACTCGCAGAGCCCTCCTTGCACCCACGCCTAAACGTGACCTTCCTCAACGAGGCCGACGTCGTGGAGATGGGAGTCGACGGCGGCGGGCTGTCGCGTGAATTCCTCAACCAGGCCATCGCCGAGGGCTTCAACCCGGCGCGCGGCTTCTTCCTCTACACCGACGACAACACCCTCTACCCCAATCCCAACGCGGCCGCCGTCACGCCCGACTACCTCAAGCACTTCTTCTTCCTCGGCCGCCTCCTCGCCAAGGCCATCTACGAGGGCATGCTGGTGGAGCTGCGCTTCGCGCACTTCTTCCTGGCCAAACTCGTCAGCAGGACGGAGGGCTTCAGTGTCGGCTTCGACTACCTCCGCTCCCTCGACAAGGAGCTCTACAGGCAAGTCTCTGACTCACCCCAACCCACCCACCCCCTGTACGCAGACGGCGGTGTCGTTAATTTGCGTCTCTTTACCAGGCAGTTGTGCATGCTGAAGACGTACGAGGGGAATGTGCGTGACTTGGAGTTGGACTTCACCACGGTGCAGTCGGCGTTCGGTGAATCCCGGGTGATCGAGTTGAAACCGGGCGGGTCGTCGATCCCCGTCACAAACGCCACTCGTGTGGAGTACGTCCATTTGGTCGCAAACTACAAGCTCAACAGACAGGTAACGCCGAAGTGTTCTTTGTTTGTGGGCGAAAAAGTTTTACCCGATTTTTGAGTTTTAACTTCGAAAAATGGCATCGTTATTCTCACTCCTATCTGAGCCAGTGGTATGTCTTGAGCCACAATCACCGCCAATCAGATTGCTGATGCTCCCAGTGTAGAAATTGGACCAATAGGATTCGTGCGTGGTCGATACGGACCGGTGTGCATGGCATGACCGTGGTCGGTGTGGGTACGTGACTTCGCGACGCAAGCCTTCCATCGATGTCTGGCCTCTCCTGCTCACGTGACGAGGTCCTTCTTTTGTCTCGTGTGTGTGTGTGTGTGCCAGCAAATTTCTTCAATTTTTTTTCTCATATTGTCTGTGCTACACGTTGCACCTTCCTGCTTGTTTCAACCAATAAACGCGAAGTGTATTTAGTGAAATATCTCTTGCTACCGTCCGCGTAGTGACCGTTTTCCTCCTGGTAGATTTACCGTCAATCGAAGGCATTCATCGCTGGAATGGCAGACGTGTTGTTCTTGGACTGGCTGCGTTTGTTCGATGCCGAGGAACTTCAAGTCCTCATCTCTGGCGCTGACATGGACATCGATGTGGACGATTTGAAGGCCCACACGCACTACGTCGGAGGTATGAAATCACCCAACCCTTCCGGTTTTTTTCCACGGCCTCTAGTAGTCGAGGAGTTGTTTGTAAACGCTGAAATCTGATTGGTGGGTAGTGGATCTATATTGTCAAGACTAACCCCATATTTTTTTTCACCTGTGCCCAGATATGACGCTGCCCGCGAATAAAATGACCGTCGAGATCTTCTGGCGCGTGGTGCATGGCTTTACGCAGGAGCAGAAGCGGTCGTTGCTTCGTTTCGCGACTGCGTGTTCGCGACCGCCCATGTTCGGCTTTCAGGTTAGTCCAACATCCACAGCTCCGTTAGGGTGACTTCTTGTCCGCTTCTGACGCTGCTTTGATTTGCAGGACCTACAACCGCCGTTCTCCATCCAAGTGGTTCCAGACACGGAGCGTCTTCCGACGTCCAGCACGTGCATGAACCTCCTCAAAATTCCCGCCTACCAGGACTCCCGATTGCTGCGTTCAAAGCTGCTCTACGCGCTCAACGCGAACGCCGGCTTTGAGTACAGCTAGGGAGGGCCCAAGCCCTCTTTCCTTTCTGTGACTTGTGCTTATTTTTTCCACGCATTGCTCCTCATAACTGTGTCCGTGAGCAGGAGCCGTTTCTTATCGTTCTTATGAAGTATACGTCAGATTTTGTTCCATGCTTGCTTGCCTGCGATTCGCCAGGGCTTGTAGGCTGCCTTGTCTGTGCTCTTGATGTTTGCTTGGCTTCGTGGTTTGCGTCGATGGGTACTGATTTCATGTGTTTTTGGGGGTGCGCAGTCAAGCAAGGCTCAACACCGTTGATGCCGATAATCCAACGGGAAGTAGAGGCGTGCCCAACAGCTTATTCACGACTTAATATGTCTGAGTACAACCACAGCATCATAACCAAAGCAACCGGGCAGAGAGATATGCGGAGATAAGTGATGGCTTGAGCACACAAAAGCCGACCAATTTGCACTAGCTCAGAGTTGCCAAGACATCTGTTTTGATTTATAACTGCTAAAAAAGTCTCCCTTGCACACACAGACAGACAACGATAAATTCCCTCCCCCCAGTCACTGATTCGAGGAGGCTAACCCGATGTTTCTCCGAATGGTGTCGGAAATCAACAGACACTTGTCTACTCTACGAAGTGGCCTTCGTCTACAAGCGATGAGGAACTGCGCGATTTCTATTCCTGCCTAACGAGCAGGATGTCGCTGGAGAAGGTTCAAGTGTTTCCTGTGGTTGGCGGGTTCAGACTAGGAAAGCTGACTGGATCGCCGGAAAGACCAGTTCAAATCGATGGGGCGAGATTCACAGAACGCGTGGGACACATTCGTGATGATTTTGTAGATGGAGATGATCTTGCTGAAGAAAATGGTGGTCCGCAACAGGATTATCGGAGCCACGACTCACGCGTTGATGGTGTCTGCGTCCATTCAAGTGAGATTCAGCGACACTGGTTCCGATTATTCAACAGACTTGCCTGTCGGAGCAGGTCTGATGCGTGGCAATAGTGAGTGTAAATTCGTTCACAACACACTCCGTAGTTGATGCAAGGTCGAAATTAAGCCAAATGCGTCGAGAAAGCCAAGGGGTGTTGGGTGTGTGGCTCAAAATGTGAACCGCTGTGGCGTCTTCGATGTTTTGCTGAAACTTTAAGCGTTCCAAAATAACGAGGCCACACGTCTTGGCAGACTTGACTCGATGGCCAAATGCTCGCACCCTCTAAACGGTGGTTTTGCACAGGCGGATTGAGTTCCATTGTGGCTTGTGCCACAGGTGGTCAACCGTGTAGGTCTAAAGGGATAACTGGAGTGTGCTGTTGTGAAGCCGATTTTGGTGGCGAATCGAGACAAACTGACCGATGACGTGGGAGACGTGAGTATGACGGAGGGGTTGCTGGTTCCATCGTCAGCCTCGTCGTTGTAACCTTGTTTGCATTAAGATTTGCTGACTTTGTTGGCTGATTTGGCCTAGAATATTTGTAAGCCAATCCGTCCAGGTGCGT